CCTCTGCTTTCTTCCATCCAGCTACTTTTCTATCCAATTAGCTAACTTATCTCCCACACCTACAGAGATAATTCTTTTTACAAGTTTTTTATGTGGCACCTTGTCAAATGCTTTCTGAAAATCCAGATACACCAAATCTACACACTTACCCTCATATAGTACTAATACAAGAAAGCTGCTTTTTTAAATCATGTAGACGTATGAACAGTGATGATGTATCAGTCTGCATCAGAAAATCTTAACTTGGTTTGTTTGTAAATTTTATGATTCTTTTGATGTACTTTGAGATATCTATGGATGATTTGTAAGCTTTATTTTGTTGTGAAATAGAAATCATGGACTTTTTTAACATTTCTGTCAGTGTAATACTAACATATATAATGATTTGTTTTAAGTATTTTGAGCATACAGTATGATCACTTAGTTTTTAATGATTTGTATCTGTGGTTATAATTTGTAATTCAAAATCATTCTGGGTAGCAAAACATTTTCCTCAAAATAAAGTTTAAAGCACGGCTATTGTCAGTGTGTAACAATGTTCAGTTTTATTTAGAATTAAGTTACATATACTTGTCTAACTTGTTTAACCATATTATTAACAGAGATTATTGTGTTAAAAAACTGAATTGCACATGATGCACTTTGTATTTATTTGATAACCATTTGCTGGTTAAATATCATCAATTTTTTTAAACATTTAATTTTTGATCTCTAAATGAGTAATTTTTCAAGACTGACTCGTTCTGTAAAAGAAATTTAGTTATTTGATATCTGTCCATAATTGTTTTTGGAATTGTGTTAAAATTTAATGTCTTGTTTTTACAGAACAGTTTTTCTCAGGTTGGCTTCAATTGGAATTCTGATTTATTCCTTCCACCACCAAATCAGCTGTTCTGGAGTCAGTTTAGATTCATGTAAACAAGGAATAAACAGTTTAGGCTGTAAAAAGCCAATGGTATGAATTGAAAAAATGTTTGCAGATGTGAATAAGTCTATAAAAAGCAATGTGCTCTTGCTTGACAGAAAACTTAGATTATATTGTATTCTTACAATAAAATTAATTCATACACACACACACACACATATATATATATAGATTACATGTATGAAAAAAAATTATACACTTTTCCACTTAAATCAACATTTATTTTATCTGTTCTTAAAATGTCATTGTTTTCCTTTCTTTGTCGCTTCTACCAGTTAATTACAGCTAAATTATTTGTATATATATATATTCAGATATACAAAGTCCTTAGCTCATTGTTTAACCAAGTTTTAATTATGTTTCAGAAATATTTATCACAGTGAAACCCAAAGTATGATGTTTTAAAAACCAAAATTAGTTTCAAGTTTCAATAGTGACCCATTATTGAACCTGTTTTTAATTTTGTCATTATAAGGTTACCAACAAGACAATAATGTTAATTTATATGTTCTTAATATCAGAAATGGCTAACGAACTCTAATGAAGATTATAATTAAAATGTGTAACCCCTTTGCATTGAAGATAAGTTCCATTTGCTAAAGATAGTTTTAATTATTACAGAAAATATAATTTTAGGAGTACTTTTTTTTTAAAAGCCACTTTCATAAGTTCAAAAAAATAATCACTACCAATCAAGAATGTTTAATTTTGGGTATAGTTCATTATATCTGCTTGGTTTTATCAAGAATAAGATCTTTCTGCTTCCTCCTTTTCCAGTATGTATTCTCATCAAACCTAAACGAGATTTTCATGAATCTTTTCACATGCTCTCATTGCCCTTTATCTAGTTTGTGTTGTTCAAATTACAAACTACACCTAGTTTTGGTTCCTTAATTGACTTAAATAACACCTTCTGTAATCACATTTACTTTTGGCACTTTCGATGTACAGTAAACTTGTATTGCCTCATTTAGTAAATCTTAGTTTTTGATTCATTGTTCAACTTTCTTTTCATTTAATTCTTTATTTTTTGTACACATTTTTTGTAATCAGAAGTTTTATGGTGTATAATTGTATATAATTATCAACATAATTTTAATTATATGTTGCTTATATCAATGAACAAGGTGGAAATCATGCTCACAATCTTTGTCTTGAGACACTAAAGCTCTACTTCTGAAAGATCAATTCTTTCATTTGAACAGTTTTTTCCTTTTACACTGATGGGTGCAGTGTGCTCAAGGGCAAAATTACACCATTGAATTAGAAAAATTATAGAAAATATATGTGTAGTAATTTTTCCACATAATAAAAAAAAATGCTCCAGGGTTGAATCTATGTAATAAAGTTTTATTTATTTAATTTTATACATAAAACTTAAACAAAAGCACAAATTTCAATTTGAGGTATGGCTCCAATAATATTATCAAGTGTTTATGAATTTCCTAAATTTTATCATAGCATAATATATAGCACTTTTTGCCACATAGGAGAAAAGTTATAATAGTTTTGAGCAAAACACTGCTAATTTGTTCTTATAACTTGAATACAAGTGTATATTTTTAACAATTTTTAGGCAGTTAATGTTTCTCAACCTTGGTTGTAATGATGTGATGTAGTATCCTATATTTCAACTTTTATTAGTTAGCAGCTGCTGATCTAAACACATTATAAAAGCTCTTTTTTTCATTCTTTTGGACTGTAAATGCTGATAAGTCTCCTGGTTCAGCAGAAATTTATGTGGAAATCAGAACAAAGAGATAAAAGACTAGCTTGGTCATATGTTGCTATAAGAGAAGGTGTTTGTGAACAATGTCTACTACAATTATAGTCCTGTTTTTGTTCTTGTTTTTTTCTACAGCATGCTTTATCATTTTGTGATGTTAAAATATGATAGGGAGATTTTTTTTTTCGTGAAATAAAGATGAAGTAGGCATAGTTAAATCATTTTGCACTTGATTGTATCAATTTTTATTTTGCTGCTAAGGCCACTGTGTTAGGCCTTGTTTGTATTAGGCCATATTGGCCTAAGTAACTATTTGATTGGGCAAAGAAAATCACCTGAAAGAAGTCAAAAAAGATGTATATAAATTAATACAGGTTTAGAATTTATTACATATATCAAATTAAACCTTCTGGTTTAACAATATTAAAAAAGTCATTTGATTATAATTTTGGTAAGGTGAAAAGTTATTTTTATTGTACACTAGTGATTTGTAAGCATAATGAAAATGTGTGAATTGTTTTAAATAAAAACTTTACAGGAAAGTTACAAAAAAATGTAGGAAGGCATAGAAATCAGTAATTAAAATCTGCAACAAATGTAAAAAATTTTTATTGTTTCTTAAAAAAATCATAGTGAAATCTTTTCATCCATGTTTTCCTTGCTAATCCTTTTGTGTGTGTGAATTTTGATCCCTCTCATAAAGTGATCAAGCCTTTATAATAATCAAAAACTTCAGTTTTTCATTGCTCCTTTACAAGCTAAATCTTTATGTTGGCTTCCCTCTGTTTCTCTGTGTGCTGCAGGTTTCACTGGTAAGGTGACAGATTGCTAGTTGTCTTATGCCACAGGCCAACAATTCATGTTTATCACGTCAAGTGGAAAGTTTTTCTCAAATGATACATAAGAAATACAGTTGATCTGTAATCTCCATTTTGTATCCCAGAAGACTTATTTCCTTCCTTTAAATGTCTTAGCCAGCTGTTGTTCTAACATTTGCAGCATTAACTTATGCTGGACTTCATTTTTGGGTAAGTGTATCTTGATCAAGCCTTTTAGCTGAAGACTTGTTGTGCAAAGCAGGACCATTCCTCCTATTATATTTTTGTTTCTGAAATCACCCATAGCAAATGATAGATTGGATCTGGATTGATTACTGTCCTATTAGGTTAGCCCTTTTTAACATTGCTGACACCGAACTCGTATCAATAAGGTATTTCCATAAATGCTATGAAAGTGAAGGAAACAGAGAGAGAAGGGCTCTATAGGTTTAATTCTTGATACAACCAGAAGAATAAGCACAATAATTGTATATGTAAATTTTTTTCTTTAGATTTCGTTTTCAGTCTGATATTTTGTATGAAAATAGAGTTTGAAGTTTTATTTAATTCAGTAATTTCTTTCAGTGTTGGGAAACATACATTGGTCAACAGTTATACAAACTGGTCCTCATGGACTTCCTTGTTGCAGTATTCAAGACATTTGTAGTGGAACTGGCTCGGAAGTAAGATTTTTCTTTAATCAAATCTTGCTTTTTACCTAACACTAAAGTTCATTAATCAGAAAAACATTCAGCTGGTATTTGAATAAAATATTCAAACTATTCAGAAGGCAACAGTAAAATCCTTAAAACAGTTTTAAAATGTTTATGATTTTCTTATATTGATGAAGTTACATAACTGGTTTGGTAACTTTTTAGTCCAGTTACAGGTATCCTCATCACTGAAAATACTTCAGTACTCTGTTAATGATCAAATAGCTTTCAAGTTACTGTGCTTTAGAAAGCAGTTTGTTTACAATAGCTAATTATTGGCAAAAATAACTATTGCAAGTAAAATTAATTCTATAGTTAATGAAAATTGTTATGAATACGAACATTTGTAGAAATTAAAATAATTTCAACAAAATTGCACTGGATTTATTGCAAAAAAAATTAGTTTACTGACCCTTTACTTAAATAAAATACTGAATCAGACTTTGTACATCTATAAATTTGATTAATTTTAGAGAGTACTGCTATGAAAGCTTGGATAAGAAAGTAATTTTTTTTAAGAATAATACCAATACAAAAAAATATTAAGTAATATATCCTAGTGTTAAGTTACTTTATTTTTGTCTATAACTTAATTTCATCAAAACTTACAAACAGAGGGTAAAATAATTAATTTCTGCTTTGAATTTAATCCATCAAATTCATGTTCTTGAATGTAGACCTACAAAAAAAAAACAGTAAAGAAGCCGTGTGGTTGCAGTTTTTTTTGTTATATAATCCGTACTAGAAGCAGCATTTTATATATTTTTCAATCGTTTTTAATGTGGCACAAAAATAATTAAAATATAGTTAAAAGGATTATAAGCAAATATATACACCTGGAAAAAAGTTAAGCA